TAGATGCGAACAGTAAGTACATCCCGCGATGCCTGGAGACGGAGGCAGACGTGCCAGCCCTGCTGGCTTGGCCACGTGGGTTCTCCTTGCTCCAAAGTTTTAAAAAAAATGACCCTCTCCCGGATGCTCATCTCAGCCCATTTCAAAGCCTGGAAACCATCGCCTCAGACGCTGCCCATGCTACCATTTCACATCGCGGGGCGGCCGAGCGAGGTGGGGGGGGGCGCGAGTCAGGGGGCCCGGGGCCTGGGAGGCAGGGCTCCCAGCCTTCAGGGAAGAGAAGGAACCCAGGCTCCCGCTGCCCTCTCATCCAAAAGACGGTGGAACTGGGCGTGGGGGCGTCCTTACCCTTCAGAGAGCTGACCTCACCTTGGCTTCTCTTCCAGCCATATTTCTGGGGGGAGAGAATGCCCCGAATCTCCGACAGCACCCCCAAATAGCAGACAAGTCCAGCCGACAGGTGTACCCGCCTCCTCAAAGGCTCAGAGAGTAGTGGCCCCGGAGAGGGATGGTCCCGGTTCACATCCCCCACAGGGATGCCCTGTGGCTGCTCCTTTCCCCTACCGGGAAAGCCAGCCCACACTTTGGGCCCCTAAAGGGCTGTGGAGGCCATGAGCCTGGGGGCCCTGGCACAGGTGAGTGGGCACACAGGTCAGTGGTAGCTCAGGCTGTAGAGCCAGTGGAGGGGGCTCAGCCTGCACCACCTTGTGGAGGCAGATATGAGGAGGGCCGCCCACCATTGACCTGTGTCCTGAGCAAGACCTGCAGTTTTTAGACACCCCTACTGACACGTGAAGGCCAGACAGAGAGACAGCAAGTCCTGGCTCCCCTCCCCCTCTGGAGTGCTGCCTGGGAGGACACAAGGTCTTCTAATGGGAGCTATGGGTTCCAACCTCCACCCCTCTATTTCCCCTTCCTTCTCCTGCTCCCCGCCTCTCTTCCTAAGCACCCTGCTCCCCAGCCCAGAGGCCCTGGGGAAGGAAGACAGGGGCCAGCCAGGTCTGGGCAGGTCTGTGAGCACACACGAGTGCCTGCAGACCTGCCTGCCAGTGCACAGAGCACAGCCCCCAGACACCCCAGCCCCAGCCCCAGCCACGTGGTGTCTGGGTTCCCTTGGTAACTGGCCTTTCTGGTGCAGAGTCAATGGGGAGAGAAGAGAAGCCCGTGGGCTTTGTCAAGAAACGCACTGTACGTGAAATGCTTGCCACCTTGTACGAGAGACTTTTTTTTTTAAGTTCCAGAACTATGATGGGGATTTTTTTCTCCTTGGATTTGCTTTATGAATAAACCTGATTGGTCCATTTCTCTTTTGACTGACTGCCTCTTTGTAGTGACATGATGTGTACACGGGCGGTGATCCCACCCACGTGCACGCTGAGGGCGTGCACACGGGGAAGGATCACTTCTGCGTGTAGTTACATGATGTGAAGGGAAGTGTAAAGCCGGTGGAATCGGCATCCAGCCCTCCCCCTCCTTAGCTTGTAGGACGGACTTTATAACCGGGGCCACGACTCGCCTCGGCTGCTTCCCTTTGTCCCCAGTAGGGTGGGGATTTGAGGAAGTCACGGGGTCTGTCCTGGGGACTGAGCTGGCTCCACCCTGGCCCAGAAGAGTCCACCGGAGGACCAAAAGCATGGGGCAGGCTCAGTCTTCAGGAGGGATGGGGAAGGGGGGCAAGGCCAGTCAGAGAGGAGAGCACCTCCGCTGACCAGACTTTGCCCCCCTCCCAAGTGCCCCCCCAGCTTCCTCCCAGGTTCCTTCTCAGGCTCTGGCAGAGGCCCAGGCTGCGCTCCTTCCCCACCAAGCCCATCGGCCGCTGCTGTCTCCTACTCATCCATGTGCTCTGCTTTGCCAGGGATGCTGGCGAGAGGAGACCATGTCCGTGGTCCCAGCCTCACGCATACATCCCTGTTGTGGCTGCGCATAAGACCCAAGCCCGCTGGGGCACAGTGGATGGAAGATACTGCCCTGGGCTATTTGGGAGCAGAGTAGACTGCGAGGCCTGGCTAGTCTGTGGGTGCGGGGGGTTGGGGTGGGCTGGAGACTGGGGTGACCAGGAGCACGTGGGTTGGGTCCATTGTGGGTGGGGGTGGGGCAGTTGGGGGGCATAGACAGGGTGTATGTGTGTGGGAGGGGAGCCAGCTTGAGTTGAGCACTTAGATGGAGTGCGGGCAGAGGAGAGGTGCTCAGATGGGGGCTGGTTGTGAGCGGGGCCAGGAGAGCCGATCATCTGGCTGGCTGTGGGTGGAAGGCTGGTGGAAGGAGCTCACTCTGGCCACAGCAGGGGTGCCTCGGAATGGCCCCTCTCTGGACTGGAGTGTTTCTGCCTGTCTGTCTGTCTGTCTCCTCCCTGAGCTGTCTGGCCCCCTCCCCATGACTGCATCCACACCATCCTGTCTCATCGGCCGCCCTGGGCACTGGGCCCCCTGTACCCGCGGGCACCATCACCGACTCATCTTTTTGCAAACTTTGAGCAAATCCAGGAGTCCTTTCCTCCCCCGCCTCCCCCCCCTCCCCTCCCAGCAATGTGGGCAGCCCACAGGCTGCCGGGCTGACCTGAGGACCCCAGCCTCGGCCTCTCCCCACCACCTGCCTAGTTTCCTGTCCTAGGGGACTGGCTGCCCTGTGCCAATGCCTCACCTCTGGCCTGTCCCCACCCCTACCCCACTAAACAGTTTTCAGTGTCTCAATAGCTTCTGCTTATATGTTTGAAGATTCCAAACTGAATGGGGAGGTGGCGAAGGCCGCGCTGGCGAATGAAGACTGCCCCCACATAGACCAGGCCCTCACTCCCGATGAGGGCCTGCCCTTTACGCGCTCGGGCACCCGCGAGAGATACGGACCCTGCTTCCTCTTATCAACTGGGGAGTACGCGTGCCCACCTGGTGGAGGAATGAGAAAGGGTATGTAGAGGAGGCTGGCGCGCTCTGCACCGCCAGGGCCCGCCTGGCACTCCTGCAGACTGGTGGGTGGGCAGCGGGTGAGGGGCGCTACTGAGGGGCAGGCAGGCACACTTGTGGGGGGAAATGGAGTGGGGGGAGACCCCTGGGTGGCCCCTAGAGGTCCAAATCCCTTTGTCTCAAGGGGGTTTCAGCCTTCCAGAGAGTATCCGAGGGCTGGAGGGAACTGGGAAGGAAGCTGCCTAACACAGGCTGGCTGATGCTGGGCCAGGACCCCAAAGCAGTGGAGAGCAAAGGGTTTGGGAGGAGCCTCAGCTCTTCCAGAGAGCCCCTGGCCAGTCAGGGTCAGGTGGTGGGGTTGGCCTGGCCACCCAAGGTCCAGCTCTGGAAGAAGCATCCATTACATGAGTCCACAAGCTTGGGGGAGGAGAGCCATGCGGAGAGCAGCACCTGAAAGCTGGGGGGTGAGGCCAGGGTTCCGGCAGAGGGAAGGTGTGTGCCTGTGGCAGATAGAGCACCCGTCAAGAGCAGGTGTCTCAGCAGGACTCTGCAGTCCCCTTCTGTCCATAGCCATGACCAAAAGCCCCCGATGGTTGGTGAAGGCTGAGGCCAGTGATGGGCTCTCTGTTCCAGGTGTCCTTGTAGTCAGTCCCTTAGAATGATCCTGCTGGAGAGAAAGGCTTACACTTGACCCTGGAGCTGGGGAGAGGCTTGGGGCAGGGCCAGAGTACCCAGCTCAAGGCTGCAGGCATTGGTTGGGGCCTGTAGGAGGAGGAGGAAGGGGGAGGGAGGAGGAGGAGGGGGAGGAGGAAGAGGAGGTGGTGGAGGAGGAGGCAGCCCTTGTGCGTGCAGCAGGTGGCCGAGCAGCTCCTGCATGTCTGGGATGTGCCCACTCTCACGGGTTGCATGCTGGCCTGATGGGATGAGCAGGGCTGGACCGGCGCCAGTCAGTTTCCTGAGGGCAACAGTTGGCATAGCCTGCAACCACTCACAACTCCTCAAGTATGTGAAGCGGTTAAACACAGAAGTCCAAGTAAAAGGCAGACACCAGAGGCAAGGCAGCTGCACGGAGGTGGGGAAATCCTTCAGGCCCGGGAGTTTCGTGGACGTCCGTCCGTCCGTCCGTGACTTCCCTGGCGTGCCCACCTAGTCGAGGCTCATCCCAGGCTCCCTGCATGGTGCTGCATGGGGAGGGCTGCTGGCCTGGGGGAGGGTCCCATCCTGGGCACCTTCTATGGATGGGCCTGACACTCCCCTTTTGCAGTTGGCTTTGACCCACGGGCGGGAGGAGTGGGGAGCAGGGAAAGTCCCACCAAGGTCTCCTTCTTCTTGAACGTTGGGTTCCACAGTGTGGTCTCAAAGAGGAGACAGAACAGTCCCTTGATTCTGCTTCCTGAAGCCCAGAGTGAGGGGCAGAAGGGGCTCCTAACCCCGGTGGCAGCCAGGGACCGCAGTAGCACCACTGTCCACGGGTAACCCCCACCCCCACCCCAGTCCCAGAAGGACCCAGGCATCAGTCTTTAGGAGGCACCAAAGCGAGCCAAGTGCCCTGCCCGCATCCACCTGCCCCCACCCACCCAGCCATGCTACACGCGCATGGGAAAGCCAAGCCTGCTGGAGACCAATCTGCCAGCGTCTGCATGTGGCCGTTGTCCTTCCTCCTCCTTCCTTTAAAGACTAAGTGCCGAGAGGGATGGGAAAGCCGAGGAGAGAAGCTCAAGTGTTAATTGTATTCTTTACATACAGATCTTTGCAAAGAAAGCCCTGTCCTTGCTAAGTATATGCCGACAGAGGCTGTGAGAGGGACTTGACCAGGCGGCTTGGCCCAGGACATTGGTGGCTATTAAGCATCTGGGTGGACCTGCAGCCCCTCCTCGCCCTCGGACAGAGTAAATTCACGCCATGCAGGTTTGCCGGACGAGTCCGAGTGGCCCAGCCAGGCATTGTACTAGGACGGACGTAGCTTTTCCTACGGCCAAATGGTAACTGACCGTAGAGGATTTCTTCTCCTTCTTTTCTTTCTTTCTTTATTTTTTCTTTACATTCCCCCCCTCATTTACTTTGGGGGGTGGGGAGGGTGGGAGGAGGGGTTCCTTAGCATGACTTGCATGAAGTTAAACAGAAACCCCAGCCAACCGATCCCACCACACCCCTGCAACTGTCTAAGATTACCTTAAAAGAACAATAGCAAATAATGGGAAGAAAAAACAAACGTTCTCTATTTTCTTTCGAAGCTCTTTACTTTTGACATGCATCGTGGATGCCACACTGTCACGGTGTGCTCTCAGTAGAAGCCGCTGCGATTCTGGGGGCCAGGGGAGGAGGGCTGCGGGCGGGGCCCATGGCTTCCCTTGTATCGGAGTCTGCAATCACTGGGCAAGGTTCTAAAGGGGGCACTTGGCCGGCCATCAGTCACTGAGCTCACCTTCCTAGCACATCTCATACGTGGAGACCGAGAACTTTGCTCCAACTAGAAGCGTGGATACCTGCACCTCGGCCTTCTTCTTGCTCCGTGTGGCATGCTTGTGACCCAGCGGACATCACCCCAAGGCCCCTGACTGCAGCTAGTCTAGATCGATTCTGTCATCCTATCGGTGTATAGCGCCGGTGTGACCTCCTCTCATGACCCATTTGTTCATAGTAAGCAATTGAAGCTGTATGGAGTTGCTAAGCGTCCTTTTAAAGCAGGATGTAGAACACCACAAGAACAGGACCTCGGGAAGGGTGGCCCTCCTCCCCCTCGATTAAGGCACATTGTATGCAATTTAGAATTTCAGAGTAAAAAAACAAAACAAAACAACAACAACAAAAAACTCTGCATGCCCAATGTTATGCAAAGCGACTCTAGCATGAAATAAATTGTGTGTCTTGGTTTCTGTATATACCCTAAAGCGATTTGTTTACCTGGAGCAATCGGGAGGTTTGCAAATCCCACTCTCTTCTGCATTGCCCATCAATAGAGTTATTTTCCCAACTGCAAGAGAGGACAGTAGCTTGGCTTTGGTCTGATTCTAAAATAGTTGGTGGGGGGGATCGGGTGTTGGGGCAAATGGATAATATTTTTGAAAAACACATGTTTGGGTTGGTAAAAAAAAGAGAGAGAAAAAAAATTTAAAGCACCACCTCGAGCTTCCCTCACAGCTCAGAACATTTCCTGAAAAGGGAACAATGATGCTTTAGCTCAACAGACACCCCCCCTCTACCGGGGCCCTGGTCCCCCAATAATAAAAAGTGGATTTTTGAGATGAAGCACGGGTCTGAGTCTTTCTTGCCTCCAGGCAGTGTCATGGTTCTGCGTGCGGCCCCCGCCTGGGTCCTCAGTGGCTGGGCTACTCTGGGCACTGGAGGATCCAGAAGTGCTCGGGTGCGAAGGGGCCCTCAGGTTATGCAAGTCAACCTCGCAGACTTGACGTGGAGGCCCAGAGAGAGGAATGATCCACCCCGAGGTGCTGCTGGTTGCTAAGGAAGAAGATGCCTTCTGGACCCCTCCTCCACAGGGGTGGGCCCTCCAGCTGAAGATCCTATTGGATCTTCGAGGAGGGAGGCAGCTCTCAGAAGGGGTAGGTGTACAAGGACCGGACCTTTTAACCAGCAAGCTTGCTAGAACGGCTCTAGGACGACTCCCCAAACAGTTTTCTCTATGGAAGCATGCCGTTTTAATGAACCCTTAGATTTGGCCATGTGAGTTTCCAGGCCCCTCTACAGACCAGTCACCTCCTTGCTGGGGCCGACCTTGAATCTGATGGTGCCAGAGCCCAGGATCTGAGAGATCTGGTGCCCTGCCCAGTTGCACCTTTGATGGGCTCCGTCTGACGGACTGCCTCCAACAAAACCTGGAGGCATCCAGCTCTGAAATGCCAGGGCCTCTTCTGCGATTCTTGCTTGCTTGGGTTCCCCACATGGCTTTGATGGGGGGTGGGGTAGAGGGTTGAGGCTCCCATTCTCTTCCTGTTCATGAGAGAACTCAGCACCGTTTGGGTGGAAAACCTCCCTAACTCAGACTCTGAGTGCTTTACAAACATAGAACGGAGCCCTGGAGGAGGGAGCGAGTGGCCCCAGGCACTAACAAGATTTCACTTCCCAGAATGCCTTGAGTCAACGATCAGGGTGGATTTCTTAAGGTGGGTGCTCTCTCTGTATCTAACACGGCCCCATACTCCCTATGCTTCTACTTTCCAGTGTCCTGCGCAGCCTGGAAACCTAGGGGACAGGGGTCAATGGAGCAGTGAGCACACTCAGAGATCTGCCCCACAGGTTATGTGGCTGAAGAGCCACCAGGCCCACAACAGTAAACACCTGTACTAAGTGTCATGGTGAGCGGGTAATGTTCACTGTGCCCAGGATTCCCCAGCAACCAGTGCCTTGGGTGTCCTCAAAATGTGACTCAACACAAACCCCCTGGGAATAGGGGCTTTCAGGGACAATGGTAGCTCCTGGGGGACGGGATTAATATACACGGAACATCTCCCATGGGCTTTGCAACTTGCAAATGCTTTCTAATGATAGATCACAATCATTTAACATTCCCATTTGTGTTGACTAGAGAAACAAGCTCATAGACACTCATGTGTATAAGAAAGAGCTTTATATCAAAGAAGAATTGTATAATGAGAAAACATCCCAGCCCAGTCCAGATCAAGTCCCTAAGTCCAATATTAGCCCATATGTCTGATACCAATCTATAAATTCCTCTTCAGACTCACACAACACATGCAATGAGGCCAATTGCAGGAAGATCACAGGCCAATGGTTGGAAAGTCTTGTGGATCAAGTGGCGGTAGAAACACCAGCATGGGTCTCCACATGGCTCCTCCAGCTCCAAGGCTCTGGCTGCCACCAGCATAGCTCCATGTGGCTCGTCAGTAGGAAGACAAAGCACAGAGTGTGCCTCCTGCCTCTGGGGAGGAAGACCGGAGTTCCCAGAAACCTCAGGAGAAGGCCATGCCACACAGGGGTCCCATTGGCTATCTATGGCCTGATTGATAGGCTAGGATCCACCCCTTGACAAGTTGACAGAGGATTATGTAACTGCCGTAGAGAGCAAAGTCCAGAGAGGTTAAGTAACTGACTCAAAGTCACAAGTGAGTGACGAAGCCAAGCAGTTTTGAACCCAGGCAGTCCGACTGCCGAGCTCAGGATGAGCTGTCTCAAGGTGGGAACACTAGAAGTGCTGGTCCTAAATCCCAGGAACCTCAAGGCCTAGCCCTCTGTCTGCCTTCATGATGCACCGAAGGTATGATGGTATGTCAGATGGGGCTGCTTCATATCCCACTGCTGACCTCAGGCACAGCCTTCCAGGTACACACCTCAGCAGCTCACTCTCCTGCTTAAACTCCCTGTTGCCCCAAGGATAAAGTTTAAGCACCTTAAGGTGGCTTGGAAGGTCCCGTCTGCCTCTGTTCCACCTCCCACTTCCCTCCTGACTCCGTACTATAGTCACTCTGAAATTCTGAACCCGTAGCAGTTACACATACACACCTTAGGACCTGCAACTCCCTCCCGCCAAGGCTGCTATCATTTCCACACTAACTCACTAGCTCCTAATTCCCAATGATCACCAAGTGACTCCATCTAAAAGTGGTGGGTGCTCAGGGCCTGGTGGATGATCTTTGTTCTCAATCCTGGACCCAGACTTACCATTCCCCAAGTACAATCTCCTCGAACGTTGGTCGGCCTACAGGGAAGACAAGGGGGTTATGATCCGGAGGGGAGAGTATGTGTAGCAGGCAAGGGGCAAACTTTCCACAGTAGCATGTTACAGGTAACTGGTTGACGTTGCACCCTCAACTCCAGGGACCAGACCAAAGACCCATGAACCAAAGACACACCAGGGACCTCTCTCCTCTTCTTTCCCTTTCCCCCTCCTCACATAGGAGGAATGCAAAGGTCTTACCTGAGTTGAAAAAAGCTCACTAGCTAGCCAGGAAGATACTATTGGGCATTGGTGTTGAAGCACAACGTAGTTCTCAAACACCTATAAAAGGGACAGAAGCCTAAGATGGGCGTAAGGAGGCAAAGGACCCATTAAGTCTACTCCTTCTCATGCGACCCTCAGGATGCACCAGCCAGCTCATCCATTACAAACATGTATTGGGCATCTCCTCTGAACAGGCCTTGGGGAAGGTCTTCCCAACTGACCAAGACCTGGTCTCTTGCTCTCAAAGAGCCCTTGGTCTGTTAAGAAAGAGGGCTTAGCCATCTCTAATGCAAACCGGAGATCAGAAGGGATCCAATGGGTTAACAAGACTCTGGGAGAGGCCATCAACGCCCCCTTACCACTCTGGAACCCATGCCCCCCACAGATGAAGTACCTGGGAGAAACTCCTTCTGCCTGGGGTTGCCGCTGGGGAGGGAGAGGCTGAGGACCTCCAGGCCATGGGACCTTCTATGAGGTCTAGAGCCAGGAGCCATTCATCATGCTCTGGGTAGGTTTGGGACCCTGCCTGCTTCCTAGAAGGGTCTGGGGTTCTAGAGCACAGCTTAAGGCAAACGTACTACTTGGTTTCCCACCGCTGGTCTGTCAGCTTGTCTTACCGCGGTGGCTTGGGTGTTGCCGTGACCCTGAAAGCTAAACAAGCCTGACAGTGACCAGGAGGGAGCCCAGCAGCAATCCAGGGAGAATGAACTTCTTCTATGTCGTTCAATGGCTCCATCTGAGCAGGGGTGGGAGGCTGGCGGTGGGGGGGGGTAATTGATAAACCCTCCCAGAGTCTTGTTCAACCCACTGGATTCCTACTGGTCATTCTTGGACTTGTATGGGAAGAAACCCTAGAGCGTGCTGCAGGAGACCCGAGGAGAAAGAAACACCAGGGCTCAGCATCAGAGGACTTGGCATTTTGATTTCTTCCAGCAAATGCAAGAATGTGGAAAGGAACTCTGCATTGGTCCCTTCTTAGTGGAAACTCTCCGATATCCGGGCCTGAGAGCCTGCTCCCTGAGCTGTGTGTACCATACAAGCCACCCAGTGGGGGCACAGTGGTGGGTGGTCAGGAGGATTCATCTCTGGACCATTTGCTTGTTCTCTCTCTCTCAGGGGGATGGGTTACCTTAGCGATGTCCTTCCTTCCATCACAAGTGTGTGCGGGCCGTTTGGCCCTTCTTGGCTCTGGGATGGGACGGGGCACAGGGACTTTGCTGGCCAGGGCAGCCAAGTTTCTAAGGTGCAAAGTGGGGAGCAGAACTCCATGTGTTGGTGCCTATGACTGAGGGAAGTCTCTAGGTTCATCCCCGAGGGGTGCCCACCGCAGGGCCCAGGGAGACACCATCTCATTCTTCCCTAGTTCAGGGCTGGGGCTGGGACTTTCCCAGCAATGAGGGGTCCCAAGCAGTGAGGGGGATGGCCTAGAGATGGCCATCGCGAAGCTTCCATCTTCCCCTAAGACCAGCGGTTCTCAACCTTCCTCACGCCGCAACCCTTGAATACAGTTCCTCGTGTTGTGGTGCCCCGCCCCCAACTATAACCTTATTTTCATTGCTACTTCATCAGTCATTTTGCAACTGTTATGAAGCTGGCAACCCCTGTGAAAGAGTCATTCGACCCCCAGAGGGGTCGCAACCCACAGGTTGAGAACTGCTGCATTAAGAGCAATGAAAACGTTGGATAAGATCAGTGGGTTTTAAACGTCTGCATGAATCTCTAATCAAAGGAAAACTTAGATAAGGAGGCTTCACAAAGTTCCTAGAATTCAATTTTTTTTCTCCCTATAAACTTTTGAAACCTCCTCATATACATTAAAAGTAAAGCTTCTGTGACTAAAGCGGAAGATGGGGCTCTTTGACTAAGGTGGGCATTGGCCTTCTTTGAACCATAGCCTACCAGGGGGTCAGGGCCTTCCCTTGAGAATCCCAGAGCTCTGGAGCAAGGAGTTTGAAGGTGACTGGGCTAGATGGTTCTGACAGAACCAGCTTGCTTTGATGCCCTGGGGTTTTGTAATTTCTCTTTCAGCCAATGGAGTCCACCCTTCACAGACCCAAACTTTTTTCTGAGCCACAAAGAAAAGGCAGTGTGAGAGGGGCCCCAAACCAGGCTAATGACACTGTCACTCGGTGCTCCAGAGAAAGGCCTCTCTGAGGTCCTCTGGCCAAGGTCTGTTGCCATTAGAGCAGACAAAGGTGCTCTGTCCTCCAGATCCGGAGCCGCAAACCTGGGGCGCAAGAGGCCTAGAGCCCAAGGGATCCCCATCACATCCGAGGGCCCTCTTTCCGCAAGAACTAGGGCCTGGGGCGGGTACCAGGGACTAGGCTCTTGGCCTTTGACATTGCTTTTCTTACAGGCTCCCTTCCCCACGCTGTGACCTTGGGGGGCCCCTGTCATCCAGAGTGTTACAGACTGGCTTGTTACAGGTAGTTACAGCTGATTACAGGTCTACAGACTCGCTTCAGGGTTTCCCCCAGGGCAAGCAGAGGTGCAAGTCTTTGGAGACTTTCAATGGGGCTACTACCCCGTTGTCTGTCTCAGGAGGCTCTTCTGCTGGGGTCTTCCCAGAAGTATGACTGTTTCCTCCATTGATTCATTTCCACTCCCCCCCCCCCCCCCCAACCCGGCTCCAAAGTCTTCTCCCTTGGCCTTAGTCAACAAGACGTGGTCATCCAAACAGGGTCCCTCAATATTCCTGAGCCAGCAAACCGCATGCTCTGAGCTCTGGGAATACAACACCCAGAGAGGCTTGGGCTGTGCTTGGCACGGCCGAGGGACCCAGTGCTGCTGAACCAGAGTCGCTGGAGATGGGTTATGTTATGTCGCCAGGTGGGGGGCAGGCTGCTGCTGTCCCTTGGTGAGGTTCTTGGCCCTCCTTCTCATCTGCTGACTGGACAGGGTATCTGTCTCCTTGGCCACTGGGCAGGTGGCGGTCCATCTTTCTGGTCTGTGGTCAGCCCAACCCCAGGGTCTCCCGTGCCTTTCTCAAGCCAACCCCCACCCCCACTCCCAGCCCAACAAAGCATTTCTCTGAGAATACGTTTGGTGGGAAAACCCGTTTTATTCAAAGCTCTCTGTCACAAGTCCCCCACTTCCGGACCTGTCAGAGTGGCATTGGGATGAGGTTTCTGATGCTCTCTCCCTCTAGTTTCTCCATTTCCTAGCTTGTCCATTGTTCCCCGAGAATCGACATCTTCGGTGGCATCTGGGAAGGTGTCCATGTCCTTGGGGCTCTGGCCCGGTGCAGGCGGGGCTGGCAGCTGGCAGAGGGCCAGTGAGTGGCCAGCCCCACAGCCCACGTGCAGTCCCTTGGATGACCTCAGAGCCTGCACTGGCATGGGGGCCCAGACGTTGGCTTCCATGCCATCTCCACACATGCCATGCTCGTTCCAGCCCCAAGAGTAGCACACGCCACCTGTGGAGGAGAGGGCAACATGGTTGAAACGTTCGTGTACACACACCACAGCTCAACGCGGCTCCATGGCCTGCACCCTCCTGCTCCAGCGCTGCCCCCAGTCGGCACCTGTGCCGCTGTTTCCATTTCCACCGACTCATAGCCCAAACCTGCCTGTCTTCTTAGGCCCTTCTCTCTCTGTCAACCGACCCCCCCAACCCACCCCCACACCCCCACACGCACAGAACCCATCGCCAAACCTGGTGATTCTGACTACGAAAGTATCTTACGTCCTTCCGCGGCTCTCCATCTCCCTGCCGCCACTCTGATCCACACACGATCTTCCGTCCTCTGGGCCATGCCAACGGCCTCCACCAGTGTCCCATCTACCCCAACCTTCAGAGCGCATCGGAGGGATCTGTATCATTGCCGATCATGTCATGCCCTGGCTTAAAGCTCTTCAATGGCTTCCCACTGCCCTCAGTGAGGCACTTTTTTGGGATCTGACTCCTGATCCAGTGGCTGGTCTCACCCTACACAGCTCTCCTCCCCCTCACCGCCCTCCAGCAACCTGGTCCTTCTCTCAGACCCTAAATATGCCCCAGGCGGCTGTCCTTCCATGCCAAGCCCCCGTGTACGGGGTGGGCTCCGTATGGCCACATCCTATGGATTCCAGGTTAAGTATTACTCAGAGACTGGACTCCCCTGCTACCAATCCAAATTAAATTTGCATCATGCTGTGGTGATACACGATTAGGGTGGTGATGGGTTTACTATCCCCTCTTTGAGGGGAGTGACTGCTTGGGCTTTGTGCATGGCTGTCTCTCTAGCCCCTAGTCCCGTGCCTGCTATGTGGTCAGTGCTCAATCAGCAGCTGCTGAACAATAAAAGAATGACTTCTGAGTCACAGAGCCAGAAAGTAGTCCGGCTGTTTTAGGGGCACAGAAAAATTGCACAGCAAGTACTGAGTTCCCATGCACTCCTTCCTCTGCCTCAGTTTCTCCCATTATTAACGTCTTGCCACAGTATGATATATTTGCCACAACCTTTGACCCAATACTGATACATGATCAACTAAAGTCCACGGCCCCCAGTAAGAATCACGCTGTGTTACACCATCCTATGGGTCATGAGAAGTACATCCTGTCACGTGCCCTCCATTACAAGATCGAGCTCGGCAGTTTCATGGCCCTAAAAATGCCCTGTGTCCTGCCTAGTCATCCCTCCCGGGCCCCAGTGACCATCTGGCAGCCACTGATCTTTTTACTATCTTCTGTAGTTGTTGTTTTTAAACCCCGCCCACCCCTTCCTGCATATAAAAATAACATATCTTCAGGGCAAAAAAAGAAATAATGGAAAATGTAGCTAGCATAAAGAGAGGCGAACTTCCAAATCCTGTCCTCCACACGACTCTGAGTATCTTGGATAGTGCCTTCAAACCTTTGCTTTTTGAAAGCTATACATATCTGTGTCCTGCGTCTCATCCTTCACCACTGCTACACAGCATGCCTCTCCAGGCATGACAGTGCGGTCACAAAGCAAATGGAAAGGCATCCGCGTGACATGTTGAGCTAGTCCCCCGTAGGAAGGCAGAGAAACAGGGCCACTCCATGCTGTCTCTTTCTGCAACGTGCTCTTTACAGCCAGCATTGTTTCTGAAATTTGAGTCGACGCTTACAGGTCTAGCACACTTATTTTACTTTTAACGGTACATGGACTTCTATTCTGTCTATATCGTATTTTCTGTATCCATCTCCCTTCTGATAGCCAGCGGTCCTCCCTGTCGCTATTAGAAAGAGCACCACAATGAGCCTCCTCGAACGCTCTTCGTGCACACAGATGCTTACTTGCACCCGGGTCTGATCCCCAGAGGGGAAGTGCATCACTGGGTTACTAGGGACGGCTTTTTGCTCAGCTGTGGGTTTCCCTCTGTCTTTGCCACTGGACCCTGGGTATCCTGATCAATAAAATCCACTGCAGCCGAGCGGATTCCAAGTGTATTTCCCGATGACTAGTGAGACGGAGCACCGTTCACTGCTTATCCATCCTGTCTGTGGCCTCTTCTCCGAGTTGCCTGTGTGTATTCTCTGCCTAGTTTGCTATGTGGCTGTTTCGTTTACTGGTTTGCATGTGTTCTTTGTATGGTATTTGCTCATGTAATTCTTAGTTGTTAAATGCACTGCAAACGTCTTCCCAGAGAAGTCTGTGGTGGCATTGCTTGCTATGCAAATGTTTATATAATGGCTGTTTAATTGTCCATTATGGAGATGAACCTGTACTCTATTGTCTGAGATACAGTTTGCTTCAAATTTTCATATTTTCTATTACCTAGTAATGAACACCATTAGGCACGGATGTTTGTCTAGATCCCCAATTACTCTCTCAAACGAGATCCACTGAGTGGGAATTCCTGGTCAAAGGGCATGTGTATTTTTGAAACTTCTGGAAGGCACTGCCAGGATACTTTGAAGAAAGGCTGCTTGAATGCACCCGCAGCAACGCTTGAATGCACCCGCAGCAACGCATGGGGTCTCTGCCTCACCCCACCGACAGCAGACTGTCTATACCAGCGGCTCTCCACTTTCTTCAGGCCGCGACCCTTTCATACACTTCCTCATGTGGTGGTGACCCCCAACCAGGACGTTATTTTCGTTGCTACTTCATCACTGTCATTGTGCCACTGTGATGAATCGGGCGACCCCTGCGAAGGGTCGTGACCCCCCCGGTTGAGAACCACTGGTCTAAACCACTATGCATTGGGCTCCTAACTGCACGGTCCAGCAGCTTGAAATCACCAGCTGCTCGGAGGGAAAGAGACAGAAGGACAGAGACAGAGAGAGCTTTCTCCTCCCATACGGACGTTTCAGAAGCCCCAGGGCTAGGTCTGCTCTGCCCGGTAGGGTCACGATGAGCTACAGGTGCCTTGATAGCGTGAGTTAAAACCATTATTGTGATGGAGAAAAAGAATGAGTTGGTGGAACTTGCCTGGCCTTTTTCCCACACACAGTTTTTAGTTTTCTTCAAATTCCTCCCTAATCAACCCCAGTGATTGTCTTGTATCTTTCAAGAAAAGCTATCAAGATTACCGTCCCCCTTTGGTTTCCCCCCCAAACAGTCATCAAAACCTTATGAGCTGACCTCTCTGCTTCGCAGTTACTGGGCCCAGCAGATCCCCCCGAAAGTCAGTGCTTTGATCAGAGCGCCCCTTGGTTTCTCATGCTTGAAGGCACCCTAACGGGATGAACAGAAGTGTATTGCTGAGAGAACTTGTCTGCAGTCACCTGCTGATTTCTGGTGGGGAACAAAGCTCATGCTTGTACGAACTGGACCTCTAATAGCAGTCCTTTTTTTAAAATTGGTAACTTGTATTTTATTGGTTGTTTTGAGGATCAGTACATAGAAATCATAAACGATTTGTACATAATTCTTTTGTTGTTGCTGGGGCCACACGGGCTGCATTTCTGATGTTTGGGGTTGGCAGGGTAGATGAGGATGGGCAGTTTGACTACTTTGCTGCCATGGGCTGAGGATGCCCTCAGAAACGGACTCAGCTCGGCATCCACGGCCAAGGGAAGACGAGAGCTCTGCTCTGGGTCTCCGGCCTGTAATAGCAGTACTTTTTTTACTTACTCTTGGACTTAGAACGATGCCTGGCATAGCTAGGACTCTATGAACATTTGTTAAATATTACTAGTATGTATATATTGAGAACTTGGCCATTAAAATGTTGTTTTGCTTTGTCTTAAGGTTATAAATTCTTTCTCTGTCTTCCTTGGCAACAGTAGGTTTGCCCCTCAATCTGACTTAAATGTTTGCTTATGGCCTTTTGACGCATGAGGGGCATCGCAAAGTTCATAGGGAAACCCCAGTATCTTTTCGTTCGGTTTTCCCCAGGCTTTTGGAGCCCCTGGAAAGAGTACTACGGGTCCAGAAAGTGCACTGTGCCGGTCGTCTGTGTGATGGGATCTGCCGGCACCCCCACCCAGATCACAGGAGAGCCTCCCTCAGTTTTCTCCCCTCGTGGTGCAGCCCACTCTATGAGAGACAGGCCTGGGCTCACCCGTCGTTTTCCTCCTCCCAGTAGGAAGGCTATCGCTGGCCACTGCCTGGGTTTGGGGAAACACAGTTGTCGTCCCATTTGGCCCATGGATGAGGAAGCGCACACGGGGAGGATGAGCCCCTGGCCACGTCTCCTGCAGCTAAGCTGGGGATTCAGCCAGGCCAACCTGAGGCAGGAGGTAGGGAGCATAGATGAGGCTTGGTGGCTTTGAGCCTCGTTGGGCACCTGGTATGGGCTTCACGCCCAGTCCTGGTGAGTGGCACCAGCTGACAGTCAGCAGGGAGGGGGGTGGGAGGATGGGCAGAGCTGACCTACCAGCAGGATGGAGCGCACTGGGCAGCTGGCAGGTCCCTTTGCTCCTGCCAAGGGGAACTGGCTCTGAGGAAGCCGTGCTTGGGGCCAGGGTAGCGGGGCCTCGAGCCAGGGCTTTTACATGTACTGGGTAGAAGGAGCTGGCCAAGGCCCAGAAGGCCGCGCCCCCACCCCCACTCCACCCCCAATACTTCCAAAGAACGCTGACTCTTGGTCAGACACTTGATAGTCTTCATCTCACTCAATTCTGACAGCCCTGTGGGCTAACCGGGCTTTCTAGATTCCTCTCAGTTCATACGTGACCAAGTGCTAAACGCTGCACATTCTAACCTCCCTCCAACTCACTGCCGCCAGGCCGGACCCCACTCAGAGTGACCCTACAGGGCGGGTAGAGCTGCCCTGTATGTTTCCAAGACTGTAACTCTCTACGGGAGTAGCAAGCCTCGCCTTTCTTCTGCAGAGCAGCTACTGGTTTCGAACTACTGACTTTGTGGTTAGCAGCCCAACACATAACCACTCCACTGCCAGGGGTCCTATATTCTAGCCAGGGGCTGCCAAACTCATTCTATAAAGGGCAGGAAGCAAACAGTGAAGGCAGTGGGGGCCACATTCCGTCTCTGTTGCATATTCTTTTAAAAAGCCCTTCAAA